GCAGTGTAAGTCATACCGAACCTGTCAGGGTATGCACTATGGCTTACTTGAGACACATCCACCTAGTGTACCCTCTTATGTTTCCAGAGTTGACTATCGTAGGAAAGGCATGACCAGAAGAGCAAGAGATGAGAGGAGAATTGATCCAAGGGGCTTGCATAGGATTCAGTTTGATCATCGATTTTAGACAGCCTTTCATATGGAATTCTACACCAGTGTGATCCTCACCAGGAACCCAGTGATTGCCAGGTCTCAGTGGATTGACTAGCAGTACGTCAGAGATTTGCAGAAGCCCTCCATTGATCATGCTATTGCTATTTGTGAGCATACAGGGGTATATGAGATCATGGAGTTCCAGCATGACTGGAATATAGAGGTGATTGCTCAATTCTATGCCACTCTGTATGTTGAGGAGGATGAGAGGCATATGCACTGGATGCTTGAGGACCAGTGGTATAGTGTGGATTGTGATGCTTTCGCCACCCTGCTTGGTTTTTCAAAGGAGGGTCTTCAGAGAGACAGGATCCATACAGAGTAGGTACTCCCTCCAGAGCAGCTAGCCTACATGTACCCACCAGGGGGTGAGAGAGAGCAATGGGGAAGGTTCTAGGTCTTCACCCTACTTACAGATACCTGGACAGGATGTTTAGGAAGACCATTGATTGCAAGGGTGGATACAAGGGAAACATTGCAGACTATTCTAGGAACCTGCTCCATAGGATGACACTTGATGCATGACCTTTCAGCGTCTTTGACTTCATATGGTGCGAGATCAGGAGCGTTGGCGAGAGGCCCCTCAAGGGATGTGGTTTTGCTCCCTACATTATGCACATGATTGAGCAGGTCATAGGGCATACCTTTGAGTATGACAAGGTACATAAGGCTCTAAAGATAGTTGTAGATCTACCTGAGATTGGGGTACCTCCAACAGGACCAGGAGGAGCAGCAGCAGCACCAGAGGCAGATGCACCTGTAGGTGGTGCAGTAGCAGGAGAAGCTTTCCCTCTACCACATGCTCTTTCACGTTCTTCTTCACGTCGCCACAGTCCTCCTTCTCCTATTCGTAAGATGTTCAGTGCTATCTTTGGGATGTGCAAGGACATCTAGACCTGTTAGCAGAAGGAGAGGGAGGCTAGGAGGAAAGACACTCAGACTCTGAAGCAGATTGCTGCTAGACTTGAGCTTGATCCTCCTAGGTCTCTATTATCAGATGAGGCAGCCAGTGAGCCAGAGACAGAGGAGCAACAGTAGGCCATGTACGATAGAGAGTTTGCTGAGTTTCTTCAGCGACAGCAGGGAACCAAATAACCTCTTGTAGAAGACTTGGCACAAGTCAAGCATCAGGCAGAAGTATACATATACAAAAGAATGCACATGAAACCGTGCAGCTAGTGAACATGGAGCAAACCTGTGCAGCATCAGATATCAGCAGCAACACAAGATCGCTGCTTGAGACAGTTTCCCAAATATCGCCCAAGGTTCCACTCTCTTCAGTGAATCCAGCAGCACGTGCTTCCTCAAAAGATTTGGATACTTTCCGGAGACCAATCTAAAAGCAGATGGCAGCAGCATGTTGAACTGACAGAACAGTAAAAAACAACGTACCCAGTGCAGAGAGCTCTCGCTCTATGCGGGGTCTGGGGAAAGGTGTCAGTGGCAAGCCTTACCCTCGCCTGTGCAATGTGAGGAGACCGTGACTTGAACCCAGGACCTTCCGATCACAGACAGTAAGACTCTACCGCTTGCACCAGGCCCGCCCTTCTTGGACTGATAGAACAGTGCCGAAGCATATATAGGAGGCAGAATATCTAGCTCATGATTGCCATGTCCAAGTTGCACACAATAAAGAATTGTAACACTCTCCAATTGAAGTTAAAAATTCAAACAAAAATAGGCCAGAGGAAAAATAAAATTAGATTTTTCCCTAAAGCAAAGTATAGGTCTTGTTTTGTTTTTTCTTTGGGTCGAAAAAAGTATAGATCTTTCAGTCCATGTGGTTTTCCCATGTATCAGTGCTAAGCCTAAGATATATTAGTCCCACCAGAGAAGAACTAACATTCACAACAATGTCCGACTTTGCTTGACCCATGAATCTCTCGGATTACGAGCTTGGGCAGGACCACCAAAAAGGAACAAACATGTGTGAGCCCTGAACCCAAACAACAGTAGAAATCCATGCGAATCGATGCCATCCACTAGATGTAACAACACTGATGTGCCGATTTAACGACAGTCGCTCAGTACTTAATCACAGCTTACATATGCTGCACATACACAACCGACCGTCTACATCACAGCGGAATGGTCTCATATTTTAAGCTTGCTAAATTGAAATGAAAAAGATAACAATACAAATGAATGGATGATTCAACACAAGATGTGACTTGATGGCTTGAGATTGTGAAGATAGCAAGGAAATGCTTCGAGGTACTAAGCAAGGGTGAAGGGCAACCGACGGCTTGGCGGCCGAAGAACCTAGCTAGGGTGAAGAAGAAAGTACTCGCATTTAGTTGAGGTACTAATCAAGCTGTGATGGTCATATTGATGTGGAGGATCAAATCTATATTGGATAAAGTGTTGGAAGTGACTTGATACATTTGGAGTTATTCATATTTGATGAATGGAATCAAGTCACGTGCTCAAAATGGCTATGCTCAAGTGAAAAAGATCAAAGTTGACATGTTGACACCCTCACTTGATGAAGATTGGAATACACGGCTTCGGTTGAAAGAGATCAACTCAAAAGGTTTAAATTCGTTATACATTTGAATTTGAGTTAATAGGAATGTCGTACTATTAAGAGGGATGCATTATGTTGATAGATAATGTTTCATAAAGTGCTCAAGCCAACCCATGTGAGTTTTAGAGTGTTTTAGAGACAAAAGAGCTAACTTGTTTTTGATGGTCTGGTAATACCGGACGTGTCTGGTATGTGCCCAGCCATGATAAAATTCTTGATGTTCTTGGGTTGATTCATCGAGAGTTCCGACGTAAGTCGAGAGTTCCGACGGTCGGGAGTTCCAGCAATGGTCGGGAGTTTCGACGTCTCGTGCTTAACTGACTTGGAGAGTTCACTGTCCTAGTCATACTGGACATGTCCGGTATGGACGGCCAGAGACCAACGGGTAGTTTTCAAATACCTCGAGGGTCGGGAGTTTTGGCATGCGTCAGGAGTTCTGACACCTCACATACTTTAACTCAGTTACCGTAGTTTTCAAATATGCTGAGGGGGTAACTCTTGAGCACTTGTGTTGCTCTAGCTCTAGTAGATACCTGCAGTTTGGTTGAAAGATAGGAATCGAAAGGAGCAAGTTTGGAGCTGTTCCACTGAAACCGTGTATACCGGACACGTCCGGTATTGGTTCCTGTGCCAGGCTGTTCATCAGACCACGTGTGTACCGGACACGTCCGGTATACCTACCGGACACGTCCGGTATTAGAGCTCAGTGCTGAATTTATTTGATCTCTGTTCTAACTTTATGTTGCAGGGTTGTAGCTTCTAGATATATTCTTTACACCTTGTTTACTCTGTGGCTAACTTGTGAGGGGTGGTATTACTCTTAATTTGGAGCCTTTACTAATCGTTTCCGTATTTAAATGTGTTAATTTTTAGAAATGCCTATTCATCCCCCCCTCTAGGCGGCATCCTATGTCCTTTCAATTCGAAACCAACAAGTCTACAAATCTAACTTTGTCGTTTTCAAACGACAGGAAAATTCGACCTCACCAACAGTTCAATTTGATGTGAGGTATGCAAACTTTAAAGTCTCACTTGACTTACATTGAACTATGTTTGAGGTGTATCCATTTTGTGTATGATGGATAAGCTCCCTTTATGAAAATTATTTGAAAATTTTACTGCAAGCATATACACCCAAAATATGACTCCATGCAAATTTTTAGATTTTTTGAACCTTTTTTAGGTATTATTAGAATTATTTTGTAGTAATATGGAGAGAGAAGGTCGAATTATACCTACACACCAATTGAATTTTTCATCTATCTCTACCACAAACTATTGAATGGACCATATGAACCCAAATATATTTTTATGTAATTTTTTCGATCTTATTAAGTGTACACAGTTCATTTTGGAATTTGTTCAATTTCAATTAGCACGTAGAAATTCATTTAACTATAAAAAAATAGTGAATTATTTTCATAATCTCATATTTCCTTAACTTGTGGTAAATGTAAGGTTTTGTCAAATTTGAGGTGCATACAAGTTCAAATTTGGTATGAGTGTTCAAACATCAATTTCCTTGGGCAATATATTTCCTGTGTCCGCGTTTCGATTAATTTCCATATGTGTTATCTCCATGACCGACAAGAAAATGCACAAACCAACATAACAATGCACAATTTCCCTGTGTGTTATTAGTAAACTGATAACATAATTAATTATCCTGTCGGTCACACGCAGCCATAGGTTAATTCAGAATTTTCTTGTCTGTTATTTAATTTTTCAGTGTGTTTTCTAAAACCCGTCAAGATAATTGTAATATCCTGTCGGTTATTTAATTTCCGGGTGTATTTTTTTAAAACCGTTAAGATAGTTATAATTATCCTGTCAGTGTACGCAATAACCATAAAAATATCGAAACCCTTAGGGAAAATCCGGTTTACAGTAATGAGAGTGGCAACATAATGTGCATTGGAAAGAAATTCTTGCATGAACTGACTTGGTGATCATGCACAAGACAACGGTAACATCTACCCCAAGCCCATCTCTTAAGTTTTGTGGTGTTGTGTTGTTGTATTTTACTCCTTTATCGATTCATGCTCGCTGGTAGCTTTTTGAAAAATAATGGCTATCCAGTTCAGCAAGCGGCTCTTGCTCAAGCTTCATCCTCAGGGCGTCATCAATCAAACAAAGAGATAATAAAGAAGCAAAGAACCACATGAACCCCAAGAAGTTCAGTACAAAAGTAAATATCATGTATATGGTATGTATTACACATGTGTCATCTCAATTCTCAAGCCTAATAATAAAAATATGATTAATGCTTTGTGTCCTCCAGCACGTCGACCATGAACTGCATCACCGTCACCTGCGCCTGCAGCCGCGCGATGTAGCCGGCGGCGCGCAGGAGGAGCTCGTCGACCTCGTCGTCGCCGCCGCGGCCGCTGCCGCTCGGCACGAGGCGCCTCAGCACCTCCATCTTCCTCCTCACCTCCATGTCCCGTCGCCTGCTGCAGGCCTGCTTCGTCCTCGCCTTGCCTTCCGCGGCATCGTCCTTGCTTATCGGCTTCGTCGTCGGCGACGACGGCCTTCTGGCGGCCGCGGCGGCGGAGGATGCCGGCGGCCTCGTTCTTCTCCTCGCCGTCGATGTTGACGGGCTGCAACGGCGGTTGCCGGTGTGGGCACCCATGACCAATCGTTGTTGTTGCAAACTGCAGCCGCTGTAGGCTGTAGCTACTTGCAGTTGCAACGAACTATGGGATAATGAGGAGAGAAATGAAGAATGAGGGATTAGAGAGAGATAGATGAGAATGATGGGATGCTAGAGAGAGGGGGCAAGGGGTGTTTATATAGATGCTATAGGAGCTATAGGCTGGAAGAGAAGATATGTGTGTGGGGGGATTAGGTGGCATGCATTGGCATGACAAAAGGCGGATCAGGAATGATTAACTTCTGTTTCTGTAGTGATCAAACATAGCTAGCTAGATCATATCATATATATATGCATGTGGATACGATACGGTGCACATTGACAGGGAGATGGCATGTCATGTTGTTGGGATGCAAGCATTGCAGTGCATTGCTTGAAGGTGAGGGCAGGCATGCATGCATGTTCTCCTAACTCAAGGCCACATGTGACATGCCACCACATGATTCCTTAACCAACCAACCAACAACACACCTCTCTCTCTATCTATCTTCGATCCAAGCAGAAGCAGACACCTCTCAAACGCCACCAACCATGCACTACTACTACCCTTTATGCACTTCACTTGGCTTTCGATTTTCCTCGTCAGAACACTCTGTAACGTATCTGTCTGTATCCCTTACCATCCCGGGCCCTCTCCTATCCCATGCATGCATGTGTGTGATTTGTTGTGGGGCCCCACACACTCCTCCAGTTCCTTTGCCAGCCTGCCACCTCAGCAAAAGTGCAGCAAAGAAAAGTATCGCCTGCATCATCATCATGTGCGAAGAAAAGTCTCCCTGCATCATGTGTTCACGCCCGTGGTGCATCCGATCCCTACATATATGTATGTTAGCTAGGGATATATATTAAAATAAACAGCATGGATTAGCAGGCTCTAATGTGCCAGCATGTTCCCCGGTGGGGAGCTGGTTATGATAGACGCAAATGCTTCAATCAATTGGACTTTTTTTTTATGAGAAACAATCAATTGGACTAATGGGATGCATTGCACATGTAACAATTAATCTCCATGATTTAGGGCTGGGGTGCCTTGATTTGTAGCCATGTTCCCCTCCTCCCCCTCATGACATATGTCAACGGGAAGTATGCATGATGTGTGCATCATTATCCTCGATCACACGTATGTATGTATCAACATGACATGTGTAGCCAGCCGTCGATGGGCACCGCGATCTCCGGTACAGGATTAGTGGTTAGCACGCGCAAATTGGGCAATTTCCGTGAAGATCCCTGATGAGGGGAGAAGCGATTATATTGAATGTATTTCTTTATTAATCTTGCTGTTGCATTCATGTGCTGATGTGCATATGACAGCAGTTGAGCAACCAGGTGTTGGTTAGTTAGTAAGCTAGGCATGTGATTAGACTAATCATCATGCGCCCTAGATCAAACAACGGTCGAGGACTGTATGGATGAGTTGATCATCATCAGGTATTACTTATAGGATAGGAGAGTAATTAAGAGCAACTCCACCTGATTGAGGAAAACAATCCCCTTTCCCTAAACAATGTCATGTAGGGGAATGAGGTGAAGAAGAAAAAACACTCCAGTAGATCCCCTTCATCAATCTTTTTTTCTTATATTTTTTAATCCCTCAAATAGAGAGGAGCAAGCAACATTTTTCCTCAATTCCTTTTATTCCTCAATCTGCTGGAGCACAGTTCCCTATACTCTAAAAGTCTGTTTTCTCAATCCCTTTAGTTTCATATAGGGGATTAGATATCCTTAATTTAGTGGAGATGCTCTAAAATTGACCTGCACAACTGTGTTCCCGTACGCGTTTATCGGTTGGTGTTCCGACGTCGCACATGGATGCAAGTTTAGCCGAGTTAATGTAAGCTAATTGCATTTGTTTACGTAGGTTATTGCTTTGTGTGGTTGTTGTATTATGTTCGTGCTGGCGTGTTTATTCTCAAAGTTCTTACCTAGCTAGTATATATATTGTGAAATAGGCGCCTCTTTTACATTGCTCCTCGGCGAGCTCCTCATGTCTGTTTGTACAAGTGATTAACCTCTTTTTTTATGTTTATTATTTGCTTCGACCGAGGCCTGAATTATTGATAGATGGGCCGGAATTTGAAGCCATCCTACTAGTTTTGGTACATAATGGCCCAACTGCCAGTTCTGGCGCCTAGCTCCCTGATTTTGCATGGACCTCACTCGTTGAGTGCTCGTAAACTGAAGGCAGTTTATTTCCACTTGGTGATTTTTTTGGGATAGACCTGGTCATACATCTAGTCGGCCTGGGAAAGAAAACTCCAACGCCATTTTTTCCTGGCCCGCATCTAAGGATGGCAACGGATCAGGTTTAGGGCGGATATCCATGGGTTTCGGGTTCTGCGGGTTCAGGTTTGGGGATGGTTTTTCACCCACGGTTTTCGGGTTCGGGGCCCCGAAACCAATCGGGTTTGGTTTTCCACCCGTGGATATCCAATGGATATCCGAAATAAATCATTTGGAATTAAAACTCATGTTTTATAATATACTAATAATAATTTGTTTACTTAGATTATTAAATTTATTTAAAGTTGACTCATGAAAATATTTATTATTTGTTGCCTCTTATTTATACATGTGAATATGTGTATATATATCCACGGGCCGCATCTAACCTGGGCTGGAAATCGCAGCCTGGTCCCGCCCATCGTCTGGCCCGACGAGGCAATGTCGGCGCCACCGTTTCATTCCTCTAAACCTCTATCCAAGGTAAGACATGCTTGCTGAGGACGTCCGTTCGGCGGACCGATCCGCACGGCGTGATGGCCAAGAAAAGAAAAGAAAAGAGGGGTGCCAGTTGTAGTTACAAGAGCATCTCTAAGAGTTCCCTATTTTTTTCTCCTAAAACTTATAGTTTTACAACTCCTAAAAAGATATTGGGAGAGAAAAAAGAAAGCCATCTCAAAGAGTTTCTAATAAATTGTTTTTAAAAAATCAAATTTGGGTCTCACATCTATTTTCCCCCGACGAGGGTTGGCTTCTGGGGCGCACTGTGACGTCGTCCATCATGGGGCCCAGGCCTTAAGCCCAGCATGGCAGCTACACTGTCTAGTCCGACTCTCCTCGAGTCCAAGGACTCCGACCGCCCGGCTCGGAGGCACTGCCGGCCGGAGCATCCGCCCTCGCCCCCCCCGCCGCCTCTGCGCCCGCGCCCGCCTCGGGGTCGGGGCCGCCCATGAACACGCCGCCCGTCGCTGACGCTCATCGACGACGCCTGGTGGCTCAGTGTCGCCCTCGGCCGCGCCCGGCAAGGTCAGGGTGTGCTTCCCGGAGACCAGGGAGGTCATGGAAGTTCGACACCGCCGATGTCCGCCCCCACCTCGAGTGGGTCGTCGGAGAGTGGCGCTCCCCAGATAGCATTATAGGAGGGAGTCGTACTGCAGGAGAATGATCCGCGCGACTCAAGAGCCGCGTAAAGTTACGCGGAACTGGCTCAGTTTTTCCAAGTGCCTAAATATTAGTAGGATGGATTAGGAATTGTTGGAGAGAGATTTTTTTTCTATTTTTCCTAAAAACCAAGTATTAGAAAGGCAAATAGAAAACTCTTGAGGTGCTCTAAGGCCACACTCATCTTTTCTGCAGGTCCACGCATGAGAGCGCGTGTGACGACTCACTCAGCGTGGAGGGCAGAGTCTCGGGACGCGCCAGCAAACATCCAAAGCCTATAATAATCTCGGCTAGGAGCACAGCTAGAGGTCTACTGCCTTCGTCTTTGTGTGCTGTGCTGACAGTGCTGTGCATATGCAAAATGCAGTGGCGCCATGGGGCGCGTGTGACGTGCATGCACGCGCGGTGACCAGAGAGAGAATGGGAATTCATGAGAGGAGCACGGCTGCGGGGCCCGCATCTACATGTGCCATTTGCTGCTCTCAAGACGGGTGACCGTGGGCATTGAGCTTCGTGTCGGCATATGCGTTTCATGTGTATGTTTTATCTGGACATTGCATGTGTTTCATCTGGACGTTGCATATGTTACAATGGCTATACACATATGTTGCATGTGCATCTTCTAAATGTTTCAGTTGTTTCATCTTGATGTTACATGTTTTCATCTGGATGTTGTTAGTGGCTATACACGTATGTTGCAAGTGTATGTTCTAAATGTTCACCTGTTTCAGACGTATGTTGCAAGTATTTTATTTAATGTTGTATATGTTGCCGTGGTTATACACATATGTTGCAAGCGTATGTTTCAATTTGTTTCACCTTGTTTTCAGTATGTTGCAGCAAGTGTTGCTCCCCATGTACTTAGACTCGCGGGCACGCACGCGTTGTACGCACCCAGCCAGCGCTGTCTATCTCTATCATGTGGGCCAGCTGCAACAGTTAGACGTGCACACAAGCCAAACGGCCAGCACTCCCTTGTCAGTTGGTATTTTAGCTCTTACAGTGGATTCAGGTGTTGGTGCTAAGGGTTAAAAACTTGTGAGTGGTTCAGCTAGATGGTTCCCTTCAATTTCGTTGGTTGCAGTGCTACTGCTATCTCTTGGCGAGCACTGTTCTTCCCTCATCATTTGCGTTATGCTGCTTCGGATAATATAATTGACATTGTGGCCTTACTGTTATTCACTCGCCTTTATTATTAATATTTGTTCCTAAACAAAGGGATATAGGACATATGGCACCCACGAGCTTCACATTTATGTTATATTATATTCATATTCCAAATATTAGAGTTGCAAAGAAATTCATACTCAAAGTTTTAGGTATAAAGCTAGGTAAAACATAATGTTCTTGCTTATCAGATGCGTGATTAGGTAACTCTGTTTACAGATATTGCTTACAAGTAGGCAGGACAGCTACAAATGTTTCTCTATCTTGCATAGCTTGCTCAACCAAGGTACCTTGCCACTCATAATAAATAAGTAGGCAGATTTATTATATGACTTAGTTACTTTACATGGCAAATGTATTTAGTATATTCATTCAGCCCCCCTCCCCCCTACAAATATCAGTCTTAGGATGAAGACAAAGGTTTATATAGAAAAAAGTGTGCCTATAGTAAAATTGGTGTTCTTATTGAATATGTTGTAACATTAGTACCATACATTAGCCATGTTGCTCATCAGAAGCCTAGGGGAAAACTAACCGTTTCAGTGTTTAGGTGTCAAATGCAGGCTGTTCAATTTCCTTGATCATAACTTATTTTATCTTATGTATCCAGTGATTCCAGTAGATTACCGCCAATTACAGAGTAAATTCAGTGCCTTGGTTTCACAAATTTGGTCAAAGTAATTTTCGTGTTTGATAAATTAGTGAAGACAGTTGCCTCCAAGTCATTCTGTTGATGTTTCTAATAAATACGAGTTATCTTGCACTCTAACACATACTGGTTATATCTTGCAGGTATATGGTGCAAAGACCTACCTCCATGATTTGGCAAATGTGTTGTGGACTGTCAACAACTACCAATCACTCAGTTTTATTGGCTCTTTTATTGTTATAATGGCCATGACACATTGTGAGTTGTGATGCCCTAAACCTTGTGCCCAGTGTAAATAAAATCTACGAAGATCCATTATGTGTGCATGTACAAAGTACCTAATGATACTCTACTTGCAGCAATGTACAGAATGTGAAGGTGATATGGACGCAGCCTGTGAAACCAAATTAATGCATTATTGGTTATTGCACACGCGCGCCATGTCTATCGTTAGAGAAATACGATTTGAATTATTAGATTTCTATTTATGCGTATGTTTTAGAGATTGGGACTCCCGACTGGTACAGGGTAAGGAGAGACCTGAACGCTAGACAAAAGCAACGCATTGAACTTAAGGTAAACAACCAACCAGTTTAGCTCTATCTAATTGCAGCTGATTAATGCGTCCTGGACAAAACCGGCGCAGCGGAGCGCGCCTAACAGGCTAGAACTCTTCAATGGTAACAGTAGTGAGTGCACCTTGAATATTATATCTTTTTAGCAAAACCTTGAATATTAGGTATGCATTTCATTTCAGCATGGGCCTCAAACACACGCTGTCCTCTTGTCTGAACACCTTTTAGGTCCATTTAGAATATAGGATCCTGCATTCCAGATTTTGTTATTCCAAGCTCAAATTCATTGGTTTTTAAAACTTCAAATTGCATGATAGATTTTTAAATTTGATAAGTTTTGAAACTAAAAAAAACTAAACTTAGGTTTTAAAAATTGAAGTTTAAAATCTGTTTTTTTTATATTCAAAAATTTTAATCCTAAATTATGAAAAGAAAATGGAAATTGAAAACTAAAAAAAATAAATTATAAGTTGGAATTTATATTTCATAATTAGAAGTTTAAAATTCAAACACTTTAAACTTAAATATTCAATGTCTCGGATCTAAAGGTTCATGCGTCCATTTTAGAGAAAGTTTAATAGAGCAACAATGATTCCATTATCTTGATAACCTAAGATAGATATCGTTTTATGCGAAAAAAAGGATTATTCAAATCTTACTTTACTGTCTAAATTCTTGATTGGTTTGTCAAACATACTAGTAACTAGTAATCCTAAAGACTAGCCATAGATTAATTTTAAGATTTTACACCCTGTGCTGTCAGGTATTTTGGTTAACCTTTTTTTTTAACTTATTTTGGTTAACCTTTTTGACAATGCCACAACGGTGAAAACCTCGTCGGATAAGCCAACGGTCTGAGAATCAGCTAACATCCATATCGACCGTCCATCTCGTAATCGACGGATGTCAGATCCTCTGACCACCGGCCGAACCCGAACCGTTTCTTCATCCACACGACCACACAAGAGATATTTCCCAGCGCCGCTGTGAAGTGGCCGCGCGAGGAGCCATGGCCGCCGTCCCGGTCCCGGTCCCGCCGCCGCCTCTTCTAGTCTCCCACGCGGCCGTCCGGGCCGCGGCCTCCGTCGTGTCCCACTCCGGCCGGGTCAGCCTTGCCGGCGACCACCCGCCGCAGGTCGCGGCCCTCCGGCGCGGCGACTGGGTCAAGCTCATCTGCGGCGCCAGCTTCGAGGTACCATGCGTCCATGCCCCTTCCACCTTGCTTCTTCACCCGTCACTAGATTGGGCTCCTGGGACTACTGGCTGTGCACAGTAGGGTCAAATGGACAGGAACTCAGGAAGTGCAGCGGGTGCTTCATCTCAATCTGATGTTGAAAGCCTGAAAGGCAGAGGGGGAGGGGGCTACGCACTTTATGCTGGTGTTAGCTAGGAAAAGCGAATCAGGTTTAACATGTGGAGGACAATTCACATGTGGAGGACAATTCTCTGGTGCAGTTGGTGTTTTATTTCTAGCACAGTGAGAGTAGCAGTGGCCGCGACGAAGAATTATTACTGACTGGCTGCGCTATAATCCTCACGTGTTTACATGTTCATTGTTTATGCAGGATGCTGCTGATGTCAGGAATCTCTCCCTTGTCTACACTCTTGCTGGAGGTACGCATGTTAATTTAACTGTAGCCATTCATTTGGAATTGGTTATTTTGAGCATTTTTAGATTGACATTGTAACTGTCCACACTATAGTTGTAGCCCACATGTTTTCTTTATATACCTTCACTCTGTCAAGAATTGAGATTTTAATTACTTGTAATTTGACCTTTTGTTTAACAACCCAATTGCATAAAAAAAAATTTAAACACTGGCACTAATGGAACACAAGGACTTACCAATTTTGAAAAGCAGGGCAAGATAGGACTACAGTACTGTACATAATACACACCAAATGGAATACAAGCTAAACATATGCGTATTGCAACTTTTGTTATGAAGCTCCTATTCAATATGTCCTGATGAAGTGATTGGAGAAACTTCTGTTAATTCATGACAACTTCAAAGCTTCGTGGAAGTAAAATTAATGATTGGTTCATCCGATATTTGAGTTATTAGATAAATAACAAAAGTTTGCGGTGGGTATATATTTCTGCTAAGTGAACAGTCTCCTGCAGTGATTTTATTACCAATAAAAAGACAAAACTTGGTGTTATACACTTACGAATTACAGACAGTTCTGTGCTTGCAGTGGATTGCATTGATTGTGCAGCAGATGCATCTGTGGTGGGTGCAGTGAATGAGGGTATTGATGTAGCAGCATCAATTGTACCAGAAGTTCAAAGGCCATGGGTGATGATTAGTGTTAATGATGATTGCAGAGATCTTCATTTCCGTAAAGCTGGTAAGAAGATGCTGTTTCAGAAATTATCTGTTATACTTGTTTGTTTAACTTTATATATGTCACTTCAAAAGTATTGTTTTGTTTTAATTATTATCATTTGATATTGCTATTAGTTTGTTGCCTTCACTACAAGTATTTGCCAGCCTGTTAACTTTGAACGTCGTTGTGTATGAAAAACTTTGTTTATTCTCTAGAGTTTGATCCTGAGGATTGCCCACCGGATTGCTCAAAGCCATGTGAGAAAGTTTGCCCGGCTGATGCAATATCACTAGAGCGTTCCGTGGTTGGTGGAGAGCACACTCGATCTGATCCTTTACGTGGTAAATATGAGGTATCAGTTGCTTTGGTTCTTTACTTCTTTTATTCTGCTCCTGTTATCGTCTTCATGGGCTTCATTTTCCTTATGAGATGAGTCTGCCTTGTGTAGGGTGGTGTAATTACAGAGCGGTGCTATGGATGCGGTCGATGCTTGCCGGTTTGCCCGTATGACAGAATAAGTGAGTGCTATATTTTCTTCTTCGGTCCATTCTTGTCCATTTGTCATCATCTGAATAGTTCACTTGGTGTTAGTAAGAAGCAATATTAGATGCTTCAAGGGCTATAATATCAGGTTTTATAGACGTCAGCGAAACCACTTTCAAAACTGCCTTAGAGGTTATTTAGACGGTTTTCATTAGTTTAAGAGGTAGAATACCTGGTTTTATAGGTGAGGAGGTGAAGTAGACAACCACCAATACCTTTGATTGCATATAGCCTTCATTGGATTCAAATGTAAAGTCACCTCCTGTTTATTCTGATCCCTCCTCCCTTGTGTATCTTATAGAAGCTGCAAGCTTTGCTTGAAACCATTTCAGGAGCTGTGTCCTATGTTCGGGACCCTACTATGACTGCTGAGTTATTGAAAAGTAATGATGTTGATGCAATAGAGATACATACCATTGGAAAGTATGTTTTGCTTGTCTCAGTTATTTTGTTGGTTGAGTTACCTTTGACTTTTCTCCATTTCATATTACACTTGATCTTATAGATTCTGACCACTGTAGGGGAACTGATATGTTCAATGCCCTCTGGGACAGCTTGAGTGGGTCCATCAATAATGTGAAGCTGGTTGCAGTAGGTTCCACAATTGGTTTCAGGCTAACCGTGTCTTTTTATTGAAAAAAAAATCTTCCATTCCATATTATTAATGTGAAAGTTTGCTCTTTTCAGGTTAGTCTTCCTGATATAGGTGAATCAACTGTTGATCTCATGAACACAATGTACACAATAATGGAGTCCCATTTTAAAGGGTATAATCTTTGGCAGGTAAGTTCTCAAGAGAATGATTACTCAATTACTGCTTTCCATTGATCGAAAAAAATTGCTGCTTTCCAGTATTGTGTGTATACTTCAGTGTTAGATGCATCCTTGTTCGTGACCTTGTTAACATTTTTTATAAAAAAAATCATGTTAGCTTCAAACTAGATATTTGAGATTGTCTTGATTATGTAGTTTTTAATCTATTCAGTTTGCTGTTACATTTTCTGAAATGCTATCATCTTGATGTGGTGGGAACCAGGCATAAATATGATTTATGTACTACTTTTGAATTTTGATCTTGTAAAGTAATGTGCTTTTTTGCTGGGACTTCCTAATAAATTGCTTTTCTTTCGGAACAGTTAGATGGCCGACCTATGAGTGGCGACATTGGTCGAGGTGCAACAAGGGAGACAGTTTCTTTTGCCGCTCATGTGGCTTCAATGTCAGAAAGACCTCCTGGTAAATGAAGCCAACAATTGAAATATTTTTTTCCTTATGTGGCTGTGGCTCTCTCGGCCTTATATTTTCTGAGTATTGCTGTGCCTATGGTTTTCAAGGCTTCTATCAGTTGGCTGGTGGCACCAACGCACACACTATTGACTGCTTAAAGAAAGCTGGTCTTTTCCAATCTATTTCTGTTGCTGGTAATTTGTTTCTTACATTCCTTTTCTTGTTCAATTTGTAATTTTTAGAAAAACTTATACAACCTATCATTATGGGGAGAATGTCTTTCTGAAAAGGCTGTTTTATCGAATTGAAATTCAGGGACCGCAGCTTCTGAAATGGCCAGTTCTCACCAAGCTTTAATCGGAGGGATTGCTTATGGTGGCTATGCTCGCAAGGTTTGAACTAGTGATATTTAAATCTTCATCCCTTTCCTAGAGGAATGATCTCTGAATGTTCATCAAATAGTCTGGTAGCATGAAAAGTCATTTGTTGCACCGAACAACTAGTAATTTCCCCATGACTTGTTGATGATGCAGCATGTCTTACTTTTCCTATTCTGGAATCTGTTTCTTTACTGTTATATTAATTCTGCTCATACTGAAAACACGGTGCTCACATGTGCTTGTACATCAGTACATGTATGTGGTGTTTTCTCATAATTTTTTCCCTGCATACATCGCAGATCGTTGGACGGGCTTTGCGCAAAATACCAGAACAGTTTGGTCCTGTGCGCATCGAGGAACACCCAGATCATCTACTGGAGGCACTACAAGAAGCCATGTCATTAGTAGGAACTGTAAAGGGTTATATATCCAGTCCTTCCAAGCCGTTCATAAAACAAGTGGACAGACAATAGGAAGTAGAAAAGGCGCAGCATATAGGGTCTGTTTGGTTCTCCATCTATTCCTAGCCTGGCCAGCTTTCTAAGCCAGGGCATCCGAAGCCTGGCTAGTGCTATGCAAGGTCCTCTTGTTTGGTTGCTACGCTTAGGTAAGCCTGGCTTAGTTAGATCAGTGTTTGGTTGCAAGAATTGTTTGGGTGCACTCACCTCATCTTTACAAAGGTGAGCTTACCTTCACCTGCTGTCCTTTGAGCATTTCGTCGAACAGGTGGAAGACGTGCACAGCAACGAGTTCTCTCCCATGGCAGGCGATGAGGATGGGGCTTCTTCAATCCTGAACTGATTCCCCAGATTGCAATCGCTCCATCCTGAACTCGTTCCCTAGATTACAATTGTGGCTGCCGGATGCAATCGCTCCATGTTTGGGGGCCAACGCAGCAGCAACAGCCTGCGGTGGGGAACGGAACGACGGTGGCAGGGAGCAGAAGAACCCCTTTGCGGGAGGTGCCGCCGCGAGGTCATCCATGGCGGGGATTGACCTCGTCGGAGCTCGCGTGCTCCCTGCGCTCAGCTCCTTGGCCGCCTCGTACTCGACCGTGGTGGCCGCGCATCACCACCACCGCACGCATACGCATGCCACCACCGCACGCCAGCACAGCACGCATCGCCACAACCGCACGCACCGCCGTCCGGCCCCGTGCCGCGCGAGCCCACAGGAGATCTTGCCGGCGGAGTTCGTCGGAGTTCGCATGTGGGCCGAGTGGTGGCCGACGGGAGCTCGTCCGGATGTGGCCGCCGGAGTTCTGGAAGGAGCTCGCGTGGTGGCCGACGGGGGCTCGGTCGGATGTGGCCCGCCGGGGATCTGGCGGAGCTCGCGTCGTCGTCGTCCTCCGCAGCGTCTCCATCGTCGTGAGCGTGGAGGAGCCGGGAGCGACGAGGAGCGGCAGCGACCGGGAGGTGACGAGATGCGAGACGGGGGCTTAGCCAAGCCTGGCCATGAAAAAACGTATACCCATCTCGTTTTCATTGAGCCAGGCAAGGCCTTCAAAGTGGTTTTGTTGGGTCTGGTTTCAGACTATTTATAGGCAACAAATAGCTAGCAGTTAGCTTCCTAGAGTTTAATTGAGGATTAGCCACCCAACCAACCAACAGGTTGATAGCCTCCGACCCAGTTTTGCATTGGGTCGTAGACAGCCATCCAGAAGGCGAAGAAAAGCGCAGGCAGCATATTTTAGCACCATCCGACTAGCTGTGGCAGGCTAGTGAGGTCAATGTGGTGATCATTGGATGAGGAATCTAATGCTAGCTGTTGGTCCATCGCTCGTTCGTTCTAGATGGATCAGGGCTGTGGAATCTGTAGTGCCGTGGTGCTGCAAACATCTCACGTTTCCTTGTAGATGTAGCAGTTGAATTTTCTGTAAAAAAGAAAAAAAAAATGTGCTACATGTGAAGCAAGTTGCTTGGTGTCTGCCTTTCCAATTGGCCGACCAGCCTGATCATATCATTATGCAGGCACGGTCATCTGCAGACTGCAGATGACCTTTGACAAATTTGAGCAGCTGCCGTCGTTTTCAGACGACGTGTTCTGTAGCGTAGCGTAATGCCTCTTGCCTTTATGTTTATATAGCCTAATCTAGTTATGAGAAAGAGGTCACAAAAAAAAAACGTCTGCATTAGGTTTGGCACAAGAAGAGATGAGGCAAGGAAAGGAGCGAGAAACACACCAGACAGAAACCGTAGAATCCAGAGGTCAAGGAAGCAAAGTTGCAGCATTCAGGGATCAGGGCTGTTCGACAGAACTTACCGTGGCTACGCTAATTTATAGAACTGATTTATTATAAAAAAATTTATTTTATAACTAAAAAGTAAAGCCGATTCTAGCTAATAAGCTTAGCCAACGGAGCCATTGGCATCAATCAAAATATCATATAGACCGGAGGCCACCTCCACGGCTCCACCACCGCCTTCCGCAGTCCATACAGTTACAGTGACCCCCACGACGCCGCCGTCACCGCCACCGCGACTCCACGAGCGGAGGGTTCGGCTGTTATAAGCCGGCATAGTACCGTATTTTTCTCTCCCAGTCAGCCGTACGAATCAGCACCGAGCAGCCGAACCTGTAAGAGGAGAGGTTATCGAGGAGGAGATGGCCGGCGCGGAGGGCGAGAGGTGGGTGGGGCTGGCGACGGACTTCTCGGAGGGGAGCCGGGCGGCGCTGCGGTGGGCGGCGGACAACCTGCTGCGCGCCGGCGACCACCTGCTGCTGCTGCACGTCATCAAGGAGCCCGACTACGAGCAGAGCGAGGCCATCCTCTGGGAATCCACAGGCTCCCGTACGCACCCTTTCTCCAATCTCTACCTCCTCCTCCTACCCTTTGCTTGGTGCTTGCAATTGCAATTCCTAGGTGCTAGTGCTAGTGCTACCTAGCCGTTCCTCTTCTTTCTCGCTAATCAGCACCCCACACCCACACACACACACACCAAACGCAAGCACTACGACGATTTCGCGGCCATTAAAGATCCGCGAAGCCTCGGATTGCTGCTCCATGATCCATACCGTGCGTGCCATGTACGAGGCGACTCATTGACTATAACGCCTGATTTTGCCCTTTAATCTGCGCGCGGTGGTTGTGATTCTTGGCCTTCTTGCCTTACCTGCTTGCGGATGTTTTTTTTAAGAGACAACCTGCTTGCGGATGTTGGGAGGTCCTGTTTCTGCTGAAAAAAAAAAGGTTGCAGAGCTTACTCTTGTCGGCAACAATTTTCAGAAAAGAAATGACCTTGTCCTACTGGTGCTCCTCTCCTGTGTTTGGAGAAAGTAGGGAGCCCATCTAATCTTCTAGATTTGGGATTCGGAGTAACAGTCGTTGATCTTATGTGTGTTGTTAGAAACTGGCAGTATCTTTGCTATATTCCAGTCTGGACTGATTCATTTCCTTTATTCGGTTTACCATGCTTTCCTAAAGCTGGATCACGGCCTACCTTTATCCTAAAGATTTGGGGGTTGAAATAGAATGACACAGGGGAAATTGGTGTGAGGTGTGTGCCTGCAACTAATCATGCCTCAAATTAAATCTGTGTCGACTTCATCATCAGTTTACTTGATTTTCTAATGGCCGGCCGTCAGTCGATGCTACTGCTAGTTCAGTACCATTTCCTATATGGAAGACTTGCTAACTACCATATGCTGCCTTGATGCAGTCACTTTGACTATAAGCTTTTGTTCAGCTCAGAGGTCAAAGCTGTTTTCCATTTTCTTCAGAAAGAGGCCACTGCTTTCAACTGATTTTTAGCCTGCTAGTCGGTAAATTTGCTGCTAGTAAACATCGCAAACTACTCAGGGCCGTTCACTTTCATCTTCTCTGAGTATTAACCTGGCTAGCCTGTGACATCAAAATTTCGTTAGAGATGATGATGCTAGAGTAAGGAACAGGACCTGGTATTCTTACACAGACAGTATATATTTCGGATACATAAAGTGAAATTCAGATTTTCTTTTTATCTGTTCCATTCATCCTATTCTGTCGCTTTAAGATTGAGTGATCAATTCCAGTAATCCATATGGTTCAGCTTACTATCTGTGCTTTTGCCATTTCATAGCATCAATGTAGGGCAAAATATTTTCAATGTTGATGTTACTTTCAACCTAACATGATTTAACATCATCAATGTCGTTATTTTGTGATGGTCTGAATGCTCAATAACCTCACTGCACTTTCTTTTTTGTTAAATATAATAGCGTTGATTCCCCTCTCGGAATTCTCTGACCCTATTATCGCGAAGAAATATGGAGCAAAACCCGACATAGAAACCTTGGACCTCCTGAACACTACAGCTACCCAGAAGGAGGTGAGCACGGCAAGCCTTTGATTGTGTTATCTGCTATTTCCTTCTCAGTGTTGCTTTATTGAGGTTTTGAGTTTCTTTTGACAAACAGATTATGGTGGTTGTGAAAGTCATGTGGGGAGATCCGCGTGAGAAGCTCTGTCAAGTTATCCATGACACCCCGTTGAGCTGCTTGGTTATAGGAAGCAGGGGCCTTGGCAAGCTCAAGAGGTTGTACCATCTTGTGACTTCTGGGCAATTGGACATACTGTCTTTGCAAATAGCAGTGCTGATCTTCTGATATCTTCCTGCAGGGTGCTCTTGGGAAGCGTCAGCGACTATGTCGTGAACAACGCAACTTGCCCTGTCACCGTTGTCAAGTCATCAAGCACCGAAGGTTGATCTCATCACCGAAATGCCTGAATGTGTAGTTATAATAAAGATGGTCGGCCTGATGAAGAACATGAACTAGTTTCTAGCTATCTGAAACATATTGAACCAGGCAGTTCTATTGTAATAATAGACAAACTACCTTATGAAGGACATGGTTATGTAATAGGACTGTTTACCGGAGTAGATGTACTATGCTTTTGTTGCTGTACGAGTGATGTTTATATCAGGGTTTGAAGAAGTGGATCCTATTATTCTTCTGCTGTTCTATGTGATGTCTATGCTGGTACTTAAAAAATCCCTTTCAATTTTGACTATGAAAATTGAAGGACTGTATATTTCAGACAAGATAGATGAACATGCTCAGAGGAAGAAGCTTTCCAGCGGTGAGTATATGATGACAGATGTTATGGGTACATGTAACTATGGGTGTATCAATATGCAATGCAAGTCAAGCAGCACTACAGATGCAAATTCAACCACTGACCAGATCAGGGAGCACCATGTAGCATGAGCTTCCAAGCAAGCATAGAAAGGGAACATCCATGTACAACGCTTGTTCATCACAGTACACTGATACGTTCAAACCAGAGCCAAATGTCAACAGCATCAGCATCTAGAAGACCTACCATGTCTCAGGCGCTACAGAGCAAACTACTGGTAGCAAAGTTTAATTCTACACATCAGATCCACCCATCCATCCACCATCTAACGAGCAATGTACATTGGAACCCATTTAATCTGTGGAAGCAGTTCACAGTGGCCCGAGGAAGTCACCAGCGATCGTAGCAAGGAGCTGGAACTGGCGGTCAGCCTCCATCCAGCGGAACCCCAGGACCTTGAAGCGCACAGCAGTGTCCTTCTCCAGCTTCGAGTGGTCATTCATGAACATCGCATTCTCCCCACCTATGTACTTGTAGTCGCTCATCGACTTCTCAGCCAGGAAGATGCTCTCCACAGGTCCAGATTTCAGGAACACACCATGCTTGAGGATCCTGTCCACGTGGCCAACCATGACCTCACCCTTCATAGGCTTCTGCGTGATGCAGGTAAATGAAACTGGGAATAGAACATCTCCAGTTAGCTCACGCACTTTCCCTTCAGATATTGCCTTCAGCTGACTAACGGCAACGTAGTAGCCATGCTCTTTGGAGGCCCTCCTGTTTGTGACATCCTCCAGAAGACGCACAATGATAGCCTTGCGGAGCAGGAGGCCCTTGCGGTCCAGCTGGCTAGGTGAGATCAACACATTCCATGACATCTCTGCCTCAAGAAAAACCATGGCTGAGTACCTGCCAAAAAGATACAAGATATCTACCTTTTAGGGGCTTGGTAAAACTCAGCTGGAACAAAGGACATGCAATTGTGAATGCAGTATTAGATCATTTCAGGTAAAATTGGGGTAAAATATTCTTTCATAGAAGACATACAATTGTGAATGCAGCATTGTCATGCAGTAGATTAGAATGATATAAAACAAAACTATGTTGGGAGGCAACGCTAACTAAAATTTGCTTGGGGGTTATAGGAAATATCAAAATTTTCATAGAAGACATAGTTATGTAGCATGGCTTCTGTTATGGATTATAGGAAATATCAAAAGGTTCGAGGATGCTGGCACAGCCGCACATGTACTGTGAGGATGCTTCCACATCATCACAAGAATTTAATGGCAGAGATAGGGAAAGGATAGCTTTTAGTCTGATACAGTTCTCTTTTCTAGGCTTATATAGAGGATCATCCTCCATCATCATCACAAGAATTTAATGGCAGAGATAGGGAAAGTATAGCTTTTAGTCTGATAATACAGTTCTCTTTTCTAATATGGAGGACTTCTCTTACTAAAAGCTTACAGAAACTACTGGAATCAAAACAATGCTGGAACCTAGGCTTATAGTCTGATACAATTCTCCTCTATAAGCTTACGTAGAGGACTCCACCTATTAACAGCTTACAGAAACTACTGGAATCAAAACAATGCTGGAACCTAGCCATCATATAATCTAACAGCAATTATCTACTTACAATTGTTTCCTCACAGCCCACCCTATACTGTGTCCCAGAGAAGTTCGCACGAAGATGACTTCAAAATAAAATAAGACATGTACAGTTAGTTTCTTTTAATTGGGGTTATAATAATGTAAGGTTCATATTTTACACTTTCGGCATTTCAGACATGTAGTGCTACAGAGTTGTTAGCACATAACAAAGTATGCCGAATGCGGTGGCAGCAGCCAGCTGGGAAGACTATGGATACGAGATGGTTGCCCTGACACCTAAAGGCCCCATCAACCAGCTCTGAGGACATGCCCATTGCAGCAATACCTGGAGTACAAACAGTTGAATTCTACTAGGGTACTATAATTGAGCTATCCTAGCGCAATACATGAGACGAATCGTTCCTACTTCCTAGACAGTTATGGCAGCAGCAACCTACGGAAGCAATGAAACAACCGAACAAATTAATACGGAAAACAGCATGGGTACATTATCATTTCTAGTTTCTAATTGTAGATGCACAAGCAGAATGAAGCTAGACCTGATTTCTTGTGTACGAAATTTTCCTTTCCATTACTACCTGATGAACCCAAAGTAATAATTTCAGGTAGACCAACGCAGACCCGCGTGCTAGTCTCAATTACTCACTGGACCAGCCTGTATGACGCCAACCCAACAACAGATCATTCAGTGTCGCAGAGCAGAGGCGGATCCAGAAAAGGGACAAATCTGATATTCTTTTTGCGAAATGTTCGAAGTTAGTAGGCATTGAATAGCCACATAGTTAGGGTTTGGCGCTGGCTTTCGCATAGCAGGAAGTGAAGAGAAGGGATGGGAATACCTGGTGAGTGCCCGTCGCCGGCGAAGACACCGACGAAGGCCTCGGCACCTGGCCTAGGGCGGCGACGGCGGCAGTCGTCCACCCAGTCGTCGCAGAGAGAGAGAGAGAGAGAGAGACGTGCGGTGGACGGGTGGAACAAGATCGTCTGAAGTCGACCGAAGCCACTTGTCTCTGCAGCCGCTGTGCATCTAGCCGTTCACTTCTATCCGACGGTCGAGCCAGAAATATACGCGGTTGCACTTGGCTTGCTGGGCCGGCCCAACATCACGACGCACGTATCCCTGGTCGACTCTGTCGCGCCGCCGATGGCCGGGTCGGCGTTCCTCTTCTCAGCCATCCGCCACCGCGACACTCTGAGCTCCCTACCTCGCCAGCGCTCCCCTCCCCTCTCCTCTCTGATCCGGAGGCGTGGCACGTCAGCAGGCTCCTACCTCGCTAGCGCTCCCCTTCCCCGCCCCCGCCATCGTGGTCAATACGGCACCGTCGCCGCAGACGCTGCCGGCCCGTGGCTAGTTTTGGCGACAGCGTTCCTCGCCTCGCCGGCGCTCACATCTGTACCACCGCGATGCTCCGGCTTCGTGGCTACAGGCCCTGTCGCCCCATGGTCGTCGATGGACTATAAAAGACTAGTTTCGTATGGCTGGTTACACAGAACTAGAAAACCAAAACTATCTGAACATGATGGCCAAGGAGGCTGTTGAGCCATACTCCTGATTGCAGATGGGATATAATCTGTATATGTACTACTAGAATTCACCAATAACAGCATCTGTCATTGCTCCCTGAAAAATAGAAAAAACAATAATTCAATATAATGGGCAAGTATGATTCAGAGAAGAAGTGTATTATTTTACTTTGAAATATTACCATCAATAATTCAGAGAAGTTATTGATGACCGTGTAGGATTTAGAGCTTCCGTATCAGTCTTCCTTCAATGATCAATCCAAGCACAATCCAGTAAGGGAGGACAAAAAATAATCAAATTAGAACAAGCAGTTTGCCGGTGGAGAGCAATAGATGACATGACACTAGTGTAGAGATTTTGACACCAGTTTGCTGATGGAGAGCACAAGCAGAAACCTGAGCCCAGCGCACGACCTTCATCGATCGCCGCCGCCGCACGACCTTCACCGCTCGCGCCAAAAACGTGAGGCCGGCGCCAAACCAGCGAGGAGGATTCGCGCCAGAAAAATTACCGCAGGAGCAGGGACTCGCGCCCAAGAACTCCCGAACTCACTAGTCACTAGCCATTGGGCTCATATGGTCCGGTTACAGCCTTACAGGCCTGCTTTGTTTGCAGTGTTTGCTGGTCTCACGGTTGGATGCGTATTGGATGGTTCAGATGTTCGACTGGAGAGGGAAGTCGTTTCGGTCGACTTTAGAGGACTCGTTATCCACCTTGTGGAAGTGCCGCGTGGGTGCTTGGGTGGCTGATTAGCGGGGCCTGGGCCTGGGCCGGGGTCCAGCTGGAGGTGAAAGAGAAGAGGAAGCCAGGAGGGGCGTCCGCTTCCGCTGGTGCTCCTGCGGGCCAAGGCCCATAGGCAAAGCGGTTCGGGCCATGAAAAGGAAGGGCCATTTGGGTCGGACCGGACTAGAAGGAGAAGGAAGGGCCAGCGGAAGAAAAATGTGAAAAGGGGACACGGGCTAGATTCGTCTTGGTGACCAGGAAAGCTGGGAAAACCTTTTCCTTTTATTTAAAAGTGTTTCCAAGGTAATTTTCAGGGAAATTCGAACTCCGGTTCGAATTCGTTTGGTCACACAGTCAATCAATACAGGAGAAATCCAAATCATGCCTAAACGCTTCATCATGCATAAAAGTTTGCATGAGATGCACCATTTGTTACTTAAGAAAAAAAATAGACTTATGTTGAATTCAAGTAGGAGCTCAAATTCTACTCTTACTTAATTTTCGAAAAAAAGAAAACTTTTAGTTTTTAGTTTTTTTAACAAATTTGAATCGTTGGCATGACTTGACATTTGTCAATACATATGACAAGGTTATTTTATTTCAAAGGTTTCCAAACTTAGAAATTGTTCTCTTCGTCCTGCAATATAAGGTATCTAAGCGTTCAAAATTTATCGTAAATTATAAGGGATTCTAGGTGAGCTAACCCTCCAACAATTTTAAAAAGGCAGCATTCACATGCATACCTACCATTAATTTCTATTACTAACTCAAATGTGTTTTGTGGTCCTCCAAATTCAAACAAAATACTATTTAGGTGAATCAAATTCTATTTGCTTTTGTTGCTCCCTGGATATGCTTCAGGAGACTAAGTATAGAGTAGGCGACACCGGAGTGGCTGAAAGAGTCATAGATATAAAGAGGCTAAAAGTTCCATATTTTCAATTGTTTGGAAATGGTGAAAAAGAACTCTACAGAGAACCCATAAAAGTGTTCTAGAAGTATGGCCATACAAGTTTCAAAAAAGAAGAAGTATGACCGTACAAGAATAGGCATTCCATGGTCCTCGAAGGTATATATCACTCCTCCAACTTTATGTGACCAACTAAAAAGGTGAAAAATGTCATAATAGGATGTGGCAACATGTGAGTCACCTGAATAAACTAGAATACTGTCACGAAGAACTCTCTAGTATTTGAAACGGATGGCTAGAAACAAGGTGGTCTATGGAACTTCTATGACCCGAAGAAAATGTGATTGCACACATACAGATTTAACTTCTATGAACCCGAGTGGATATGTCCTGCCACAAGAAACACAACCAACTGAGCTACGAATTTGCAATGTGATCCTATCAATAGAAGTTACAAGAATGATTATAGTGATTCGTTAGCCAGACCCAGTGTTATCTTAAACGCTAAACTGTAAATAGTTGGTAATTTGCGTCTAGTCATTATTCGACCTAAATGGACACTCAAACTGGCAAAATGGACGTTTAAATGAGATAAACGGCTGATTAAATGGAAGTGTGACGTATCACTATGTAGTGTTTAACGATGTGTAAACAGGCTACATGACTGTTTAAGTGGACAGTAGCTAGACCACATGTCACGTAGAACTCTCTATTATTCGAAACGGATGGCTAGAAAGAAGGCAGTCCACGGAACTTCTCTGACCCGAAGAAAATGTGAATGCATACATAAGGATAGCTATAATGACCAGTCTAGGAAAGAAATGCTAAGAAGAAAGTAGATGAGACTTTTGTCGCATCCGATGTGTTTCTCTGGATGCTCGCCCTTTAAACTATGGCTTCATCCTACAAGTGTTATACATGAGACAGTTATTGTTCATGCATCTACCATGTATTTATGTGGTTGCAGTAACTTGACATGAACATACCTTAACAATGTTATTTAGGGGTTCATTCTGTTTCCTCCTCCTTTTGGTGAATGAGTAGTAGAGAGGGTTCAGTGCCTAAAAGCTTTGAGCTCTTGAAGATGTGACATCATCCCTTGCCGTCCTAAGGCTTAATGAAACACCTCACCTTCATGAACCATATATAGAGATAGGTTCGGACTTGTATATCACCGTAGAGAAATCTAGGCCCGGTATCATCTTACAGACACGTTAGGCTACTTTTTCTCCAGAAAGCACGAGGCAGTGGCAAAAATTGTTGCATAAGCAACAAAATTGTGAGGACAGCACGAAGCATACACCGTACAGTCACTACTGTTACTGTATCTACAACAAACAGTCGCCTTGAAAGCCCTTCAGAATGTAGGATATTATCATGCTCAGTAGTTGCTCATCTTCAGAATGTCTCATCAGAGGACTGATATTTGTGATACACGTTGAAACCAAGGTGTGCGGCCGTAAGTTGTTATACAGCCGTTTCCCTTCTTTTTAAACCCCCTGTTGGGTCATCACCACTCTTCACAACATCATCCCAAGAACACTCCCTACATCGGAGCTCAAAGAGCAAAAAGGCTTTGGTGAGCTTGAGGGCGTGTGCAGCCATGGCTATCCTCGGCACCGCGGCGGTTGAAGTGCTCATCCCGGTGGCGGCGTTGATTGGCATCGCCTTCGCGATGCTGCAGTGGTACGTGGTGGCCAAAGTCCCCGTGCCTTCGCACGCCGGCGAGGGCAGCGGCGGCGGCGGCGAAGGCAGTAAGCAGGGCCGCGACGTGCGGGGGGAGGAAGAGGAAGGGGAGGAGGACGGCATGGACTACCTGCTCGTGGAGGCCCGGTGCGCCGAGATCCAGCGCGCCATCTCCATCGGCGCCACGTCGTTCCTGCTCACCGAGTACGTACAAGTACCTGGCCGCGTTCACGGCGGCGTTCGCGGCGGTGATCTTCGTGTTCCTGGGGTCGGCGGAGCGGTTCAGCGCGCGGCCGTCGCCGTGCGCGTACGACCCGTCGCGGGAGTGCCGGCCGGCGCTGGCGAACGCGGCGTTCAGCGCGGTGGCGTTCCTGCTGGGCGCCGCGACGTCCGTGCTGTCGGGTTACCTGGGCATGCGCGTGGCCACGTTCGCGAACGCGCGCACAGCGCTGGAGGCCCACCACGGCGTGGGGCGCGCCTTCGCCGCCGCGTTTCGGTAGGGCACCGCCATGGGCTTCCTCCTCGCATCCAGCGCGCTGCTCGTGCTCTACGCCGCCGTCAACCTCTTCGGCCTCTACTACGGCGACGACTGGGGCGGGCTCTACGAGTCCATCACGGGTTCCGTCGCCCTGTTCGGCCGCGTCGGCGGCGGCATCTACACCAAGGCCGCTGACGTCGGCGCCGACCTCGTCGGCAAGGTCGAGCGCAACATCCCCGAGGACGACCCTCGCAACCCCGCGGTACGCATGCACGTCACTGTCACGCTCTCTGCATGCAACGTCCTGCTGGCTGGTGGCTGCTTGCTTTGCTTTGCTTCATCATGTCCTACACGTATCTCAAAGCAAAATCGATCACCGTTAGTTGCATGCACCGACTACTCGTGTTTCCTTTTTTTTCTGCTAGAGATATATATGACGTCAGTTACAAATGAGGGTCGGTGTGTTTGCACATGCTTTTCGTACACGTAGTATGTGTGAGCAGCATGATGGTCGCCCACAATGTACGTGATGCCGTGCCGCATGTGTGATGAATTGCAGGTGATCGCCGACAACGTGGGGGACAACGTCGGCGACATCTCCGGGATGGGGTCGGACCTGTTCGGGTCGTACGCGGAGCCGTCCTGCGCCGCGCTCTTCGTGGCCTCCATCTGCTCCTTCGGGGCGGAGCACGACCTCACGGCGATGATGTACCCGCTGCTCATCAGCGCCGTCGGCCTGCTCGTGTGCGCGATCACCACCGTCGTCGCCACCGACGTCACCGAGGTGAAAGAGTCCGACGAGGTCGGGCCGGCGCTCAAGCGGCAGATCCTCATCTCCACCGTGCTCATGACTGCCGGCGTCGCCGCCGTCACCTTCTTCGTCCTGCCGCCCAGCTTCACCCTCTTCGACTTCGGCAACGACAAGCACGTCAAGAACTGGTACGTGTGTATGTTTTGTGTGTTGAGTCTATTTGATTTGAGATTTGCTGCTATCTAGCTGATGAAATCCTGCATGAAAATGTATGCACAGGCACCTGTTCATCTGCGTGTCGGCCGGTCTGTGGGCGGGGCTGGTGATCGGCTACGTCACCGAGTACTTCACGAGCAACGCGTACGGGCCGGTGCAGGCGGTGGCGCGGTCGTGCAGGACGGGCGCGGCGACGAACGTCATCTTCGGGCTGGCGGTGGGGTACAAGTCGGTGATCGTGCCCATCCTGGCCATCGCGGCGGCGATCTACGCCAGCTTCCGGCTGGCGGCCATGTACGGCATCGCGCTGGAAGCGCTGGGGATGCTGAGCACCATCGCCAAGGGGCTGGCCATCGACGCCTACGGGCCCATCAGCGACAACGCGGGGGGCATCGCGGAGATGGCCGGCATGCCGCGACGGGTCCGGGAGCGGACGGACGCGCTCGACGCCGCGGGCAACACCACGGCCGCCATCGGCAAGGGGTTCGCCATCGGCTCCGCGGCGCTGGTGTCGCTGGCGCTCTTCGGCGCGTACGTCAGCCGGGCCGGGATCACGGCGGTGGACGTGCTGATCCCGTGCGTGTTCGTGGGGCTCCTCGTCGGCGCCATGCTCCCCTACTGGTTCTCGGCCATGACGATGCGGAGCGTCGGCAGCGCCGCGCTGCGGATGGTGGAGGAGGTGCGCCGCCAGTTCGATACGATCCCGGGCCTCGCCGAGGGCCTCGCCGTGCCGGACTACGCCACCTGCGTCAGGATCTCCACCGACGCCTCGCTCAAGAAGATGATGGCGCCCGGCGCGCTCGTCATGCTCAGCCCGCTCGTCGCCGGCACGCTCTTCGGGGTCGAGACGCTCGCGGGGCTCCTCGCCGGCGCACTCGTCTCCGGCGTCCAGGTCGCCATCTCTGCCTCCAACAGCGGGGGTGCATGGGACAACGCCAAGAAGTACATCGAGGTCATAGCTAGAATGAATATCTTATACCCCTCTCATCTCAATGCAAGTTGACCTGTTATGATGCGGCTGGCATTGTGCTCCATTGGAGTGACCAAGTAATCATTGTCTCTACTGCAGGCCGCCATGTCGGAGGAGGCGAGCGAGGTCGCTGGGGCCCCAGGGATCGGAGGCGCACAAGGCGGCGGTGATCGGAGACACCATCGGAGACCCGCTCAAGGACACCTCCGGCCCGTCCCTCAACATCCTCATCAAGCTCATGGCCGTGGAGTCGCTCGTCTTCGCGCCCTTCTTCGCCGCGCACGGTGGCATCATCTTCGACCACCTCTGATCATCTGATGATCAATGCATGCTAGCATGCTGCTGCCGTTCCATGGCAAAGGCGCCGGCTGTCGCGGCGAGCCGCCTCTTGAACTTGCGGTCATCAGTCAGTAAGAATAATCGTCGTGTATGTAGCTTGCCGCCTCTTGAACTTGCGGTGATCAGTCAGTAAGGATAATCGATAATCGTCGTGTATATGTAGCTTGCCGCCTCTTGAACTTGCGGTGATCATCACTCAGTAAGAATAATCGTCGTGTATGTTAGCTTGCAACAATGTTACAAGTAATGGTGTCGATCGGTGCCTAGTTCCAGTGATGCCAGATCACCAGAGTTGGAGGCTTATTCATGTCTGGCCCTCTTATCTTACCCTTGAACACCATGTTCGTTTGGGCTTGTTTGGCTTATAAACCGTACTTTTTCAGTCAACGAACAATATTTTTCTCTCACACCAAATCAGTCAATAGTACTTTCAGCCATGGCTTATCAGCCAAATAAGCCTAAACGAATAGGGCGGAATATGCTCGGTATGCTGCGAAGCGAACATGCTGACCTACTGCCTGCTAGAGAAGTGACAAGCCTAACCTGAGACTGGTTCCTAAAGAAATTCCAGCATTTCTTCATGGAACATTTCAATTCCTACAACATTTGGAGAAAATTTTAGTTTTCTATAAACATGACCTTAACCTGGTCACGAAAGATAGAAACACAAACAACACTGAAAATCGTCATCCGTCTATCACCAGACTGGTGCGGTATCACCCCACATTGAGCAAGCATATGAAACAGATACCCTGAGATGTAGGGTTTGCTTTCTGACCATAGAAGGTGGCTAACATTCCTGTGCCCTCAGGCTGCAATTCAATCCACCACAATCCATGAAAAATGGACTAGTTTTCCATCCCCGATCCAACTCAATACATATGGATTGAGGTGTATTAGATCCAGCCAAACAATGCCTCAGTTGGATTTTTCATCATGCCATATCCACGAATCAACAAATCACAGTTCTATGAGATTACAATGCTACTGACGCCAAACTAACCTGTCCTTCCACTTCTACAAGAGTAACAGCTTAGCCAATGGTCCCAGAGGAAACAATTTCGAGCAGGGGGCGTGCATTTTTCGTCCCTATTGCTTGTTAGTCTTACTACGTTAATTCAATAAAACGAGGATGAGCTTTCCTTCTATAGTGCTGCACAAAAAGGAGTTCATACTCAACTTCCAATCCTTCCAAGAGCCTTGGCTTCCATCCCCTTCGCCACTGCCTTCAGAACTTTTCGTGCTTCTAGAAGGCGAGGCTGAAGCAACACTCTTTAGCTTTTTGTGAGATGAATGTCTGCCACCATCTGGATTGTTCCCCACCACTTGGGCCTCATCAGCATTAACAGGCTTTCTGGGAGGTGGATCGAATATTTATCATCAACATCACAATCCGCAAGCCCACCAGATTCATGCCAGAAGAAATAACAAAATATCAGTGAGATTCAAGATACAAAGTATGGTTCAAAGTTCAGAAACTACAGATAGTGCAGTGAAAACGACACTCGACAAATTATCATCAATCTAACCAGCAAAAGCTAGTAAATAAATGTTAGATACAAAGTGAACTGGACATCCATCTGCACTTGCAGAAGATTGAGATACCTTGCAGGGATAGATTGCTCCTGTGAATGCAGTGTTGGTGTAGAAGAATCTACTCTGTCACTAAAAGGGAAAAGAAAAGGAATTTCATGTTGGTTAAGTAAACAATGGAATCCCAAACTTCATTGGGCCCACCAACATAAAATAGGCAGCAGACAAGGAAAATGAAACAAACAAACCTGTCCTTATTAAAATAACCTTCCTGTTCCTTATCAGCACCTCTTTCGTCTGCTTTCTTTCTCATGCCAACCACACCAGTACTTCGCTTTGTTTCTGCACTCTCCACAATCTAACAAGAACACAGGCCAACCGATCATTGCCTGACTCTATAGTAGTACATGGCACCCTAAGCCACAATTAAATATAATGGTTTCATTTAGCTAAGTACAGAAGTACAATCATCCTTCAATCAAATAGCTAAATATTCATAAGGTTGATTGATAATGACAATGTGATATATTCGAGTTTCATTTATCAAGCATACAAGCATACTACCTCTGGTCGGCAAAAGTTGTTGTTGCATATAAGTTGCAAAATAACGAGCAAATGAGTTACATGCCTTTTCTGGAACATCATATTTTATTGACATGAGGTGGTACTTAAGTTTGAAGGCCTGAATACTCTTCAATCGTTCAAACTTCACAAGTTGGCCCCAAAAAGACTCAGCAACATATTCAATAAGGGGCTCAAGATTTTCCTGTACACAAAAAAACATCAAATGACAATTATGACATAGCATGCTGAATCGTGATTTGCAAATAAGCAAACAGCTCCAGTACATACCTTTCTTATGTACTCCAACAGTTCAAGGACCACAGAAGGCACAGATTGTAGCATGTTGTCTCTATCGCCATTTTCATCAAATGCCTTAATAACTGGCTTCAACAAGTTCAGCATGATAACACGGTCAACAAGAAAGTCATCCTACAGAACACAGACAATTTTGTCAACTCAAGACCAAACATAAGACGATATGGTAAATTTTAATAACATGGCAATTAGAATATGCTTGCTGGTCCCCGGAAAATGTGGTCAAGCACTAATCAGCTTAATAGTGCAACTGAAGAACAAAGTTTTTTATTTTGAATTTTGATTATTCCTGTCATAATGCAAAATGAGCCTTCAATGCTGCAACGTGACCTACTTCATGGAACAAAGTAAATTTCTTACCTTTCTGCCAATTACAGTCCGAATGAACTGGACAGCTACCACAACCAAAACCTTCTCTCTCCGATGGGTTAAAGTAAGAACTTTCTCCATTGCATTGGTTGCAAAAAATATCCTGGAACATCGAGAGCTTTGTTTTAGCAAAGAAACAAAAAAAAAACGGCAACACAGAAAAGCAACAGCACGACTGAATGAGAAAACAGGGAAAAGAGAAGCTTTTGGATAGAGGATTACCTCATCCTGTTTGTAAGATGAAGTGCACAGAAGGATAAAAGCTCACAAATTTTCAATAATGTTTCAGGCATAGCAGAATGCTGTTCAACCATTGTGCGAACACCAGCTGAACCTGACGTTGATCTGGCAATGCCCTTTGGAGCGCAGGACGAAGCTATTACGTCAATCAATTTTTGAATATGCTTGTCAAAGAAAACCTGAAGAACAACATCTTGCTGCAACAGAAGAAAAAGAAGACCTTAACACCAATGCAATCTCATTGAATACCAGCAATCCAAACTTCAATGTTTGAATTTATCATAAAGCTACTCATATGCATCCAAAATCAAATCAAAATGAGGATAGAAAACTAGCAATACTATGGTAAATACACTATTTTCCTATTCTAAAAATAGTTTCACTATCCTATAGGTGCCTAACATTCTTAGTCCAAAAAGACTTACTATCCAGTGATCGCATTTTACATCAAAGTAACAGAAGAAGTAAATCATATTCGATAATGCATCTTACATGATTTGTAGTTGTATCGGAAGAACCCAACAGTATCTTTAGACAAGACTGATAGAGCATTTCCTCAGCAGAGTCAATTACCATCCCTTGAACCTAAATTTGAGAAAACCATAAATATATATTGCTAGATGAGGCAGTGATGATGACAGATATCCATGTAATTTAATCAGAATGACAAATGCTCAATGCTACTAAACATTATTTTGAGAACAGTAAGCAATGCCTGCAGTAGAGAAAAAACAACTCAGCCATCGGTTACTTAAGTTGATAGTTCAACTACCAAGGCACATAACAAAAGGAACATAAGGTAAACATAAGCTTCTATTCATGGTTACCAATTAAAGAAACTATTACATGAGTCTATCGTAATTTGAAGCAGATGTACATCACAGTGCCAACTGTCAAATCATGCAGTTATTGGCAATGGCTACAAACATCAATAGAAGAAGAATTCACATAAAGTTGAAGGACAAAAGGAGAAGGGGCAAGCTATTCATGCTCAAGCTCAACAGGGACCAACAAAAGCTCAGACAGCAAAAACGTAATGACCAAAGGATAGTGCAATTCTCCTAAAAGAAAGTACAGCTCTACAGAAGAAGTGTTCGAGAAAACAAGAAGAAATACACATAGGAATAGATGATTCTAGAAATACAATTCTCTACTTGGACTAAAAGCGTTGTACAATTACTTCAAAATAAAGGGTGCAAACTTACCAGAAACTCAAGAAGAGAATTGCCTTCTAGGTAGTTCTCTTCGTCATCAACAACAACAACAAAGCCTTTAAATCCTAAATAAGTTAGGGTAGGCTAGAGTTGAAATCCAGCAGAAGCAATCAAGGTTCAGACACGTGAATAACTGTTTTCCAAGCACTCCTATCTAAGGCTAAGTCTTTGGGTATATTCCATCCTTTCAAGTCTCCTTTTATTGCCTCTACCCAAGTCAACTTCGGTCTTCCTCTGTCTCTCTTCACGTTACTATCCTGGCTTAGGATTCCATTACACACCGCTGCCTCTGGAGGTCTTTCGTTGGACATGTCCAAACCATCTCAGCCGGTGTTGGACAAGCTTTTCTTCAATTGGTGCTACCCCTAATCTATCACGTATATCATCGTTCCGAACTCCGATCCCTTCTTGTATGACCGCAAATCCAACGCAATATACGTATTTCTGCGACACTTATCTGTTGAACATGTCGTCTTTTCGTAGGCCAACATTCTGCACCATACAACATAGCAGGTCTAATCGCCGTCCTATAAAACTTGCCTTTTAGTTTCGGTGGTACCCTTTTGTCACATAGGACACCAGATGCTTGGCGCCACTTCATCCACCTTGCTTTGATTCTATGGCTAATATCTTCATCAATATCCCTGTGTCTCTATAGCATTGATCTTAAATATCGAAAGGTATCCTTCCTAGGCACTACTTGACCTTCCAAACTAATATCTTCCTCCTTCCAAGTAGTAGTGCCGAAGTCACATCTCATATACTCAGTTTTAGTTCTACTGAGTCTAAAACCTTTGGACTCCAAAGTCTCCCGTCATAACTCCAGTTTCTGATTCACTCCTGTCCGGCTTTCATCAACTAGCACTACATCATCCATGAAAAGCATACACCAAGGGATGTCCCCTTGTATGTCCCTTGTGACCTAATCCATCACTAAGGCAAACAGATAAGAGCTCAAAGCTGACCCTTGATGTAGTCATATCCTAATCGGGAAGTCATCCGTGTCTCCATCACTTGTTCGAACACTAGTCACAACATTGTTGTACATGTCCTTAATGAGCCCGACGTACTTCGTTGGGACTTTATGTTTGTCTAAAGCCCCCCACATAACATTCCTTGATATTTTATCATAAGCCTTCTCCAAATCAATAAAAACCATGTGTAGATCCTTCTTCTCCCTATACCGCTCCATAACTTGTCTTATTAAGAAAATGGCTTACATGGTTGACCTTTCGGGCATGAAACCAAATTGGTTCATAGAGACCCGCATTATTGCTCTCAAGCGATGCTCGATAACTCTCTCCCATAGCATCATAGTATGGCTCATCAACTTAATTCCCCGGTAATGAGTACAACTTTAAATATCCCCTTTGAATATCCCCTTTATTCTTGTAGCTTCATAGCATATCTTATACGCCGACTATAAAAAAAGGCTGTATCCACCATTCGGCGACAAAGAGATCGCTAGATGTAAGAGAGGGGACTGCCAAGATCGAAGTTGGAAATGTGCACAACCTCAAGCCATTTTCTACTGTAGCAAGGGCAAGTTGAGAGAAAAAGAGAGAGATAGAGATGTTCTTTCTTTTTCAAAGAAAATAAGAATTTGTAGTTTCGCTAAAGTTTCATTGTTAGAATCTACTCATTCCATTCCAAATTCTAAGTTCATAATTTTTTCTATGCATCTAGATACACTATATTTAGATACGTAACTTTTATTATGTATCTAGAAAAGCCAAAATAACTTATAATTTAGAACGGAAGGAGTACAAAATAAGAATATAGGATCGATATTTGTCATGTATAGTTATTATAGGATGTGGCTTTTAGAATATCAAAATAGCAAATGTATGTATAGTGATGTTATTATTATAAATCTCTACAACTAAAAACCATGAAAAGTCCTCGTTAACCTGGCAGCATGAAAAGCATTGTGCGATCTATTTCCTCTAGCGATTTTTTCACGCCGGCAGGTGGCCCCCAGGTCTGATATACACCCTTCCCGTGCATGCCTCCGCCTCCCCCCGATTGAGCGTTCAAGACCACCACTGTTGTCCCAATCCCCATCCACCTCCGTGTCTCCAAAAATTAGGAGTGCAGATTTTGAAATCCGTGACAACGCAAGGGCGTAAACCTATAGTTCACATATAAAGGCTCATAGAAAAATGGCTAAACAATATTACACTCGTACCTTTCATAGCCGCGTCGTAACCCACATCGCAGTCCAATTTCGGTCTCAGCAGTAAGCTGTTGACAGTGATGGTCATAGCCTTTATCGTTGGCATCTGGGACCAACTGCGGTGTACACTAACACCACCGATTGACTTATGATCCGTCCATGATTAGGTACTTACTTCAGTCGCATTAGAGCATGACCTGGTTGTGGATTTACAATTACACCGCGCATTGGCAAATGATCCAACTGTGTTGAGGCTATCAAAATCGTTGTGTGGGCACATCAACTGCCTGTGTAGTGGTCACCAGCACTATCGCCTTGTACTTTGACCCGATTGTCCACGGTGCGGGTTCGCTGTCGGTTCGCTGGCTGAGACACCTGTGTAGAGGTTAACACCACCGTCACTTCAGCATATGATCCGCTAGTACAAAGGTCATGGTCACCGTCGCTTCAGCGTATGATCCGCCAGTATAAAGACCCCGATCATCGTCGCCTTGCACCACGATCCGCCTTTGATGATCGTTTAGTCAGTGTCAAGTGACTAAGCGATTCGACGGTGATACACTTTTATCCCTGCCACATAATACGTATAGCGACGGTGTTGGACGTTTGCACCACCAAAAGCGGTGGTGATAACAAAACAATAAACGACCCTTAATAGCTTACTGAACACAAAGCATACAGATATAATCATTGCATCCATAAACTATGTTCTTATAATAACAATAGACACTTACCATAATATCTTTCTCAACTGATGTCATAACACAAGCGGTACATAGATTGCAAACTAAAAGTACTGATCCCTATAGGCTTACATAACAAAACGACGTAGCTATGCTCCTCCTATGTGGCACTCCTGCTTGCTAGGCAAAAATAAATATAATTAGTGCATCCTTCGATTTGGTAGGCAATGCACCATAGAACCCCTCTTCTTCCTCCTAGCCAATGCAGAAAAATTGTTCAAAAGCACTCAGACTCCACCTGCACAAAGCAACATAATTAATAATATTCAACACACCATTTCTTTAGTTACGAAGCCCAAATTGGCCTATATATAGAATCAAAATAACTACCTACCTAAACAAAGGCATAACGTAATTACAACAAAATACAGCACATGCACCTTTATTGCTCTGCTAATGACTCCATGAATAAGGAAACATAAGGAAGATAGTGAGGTCCACCGCTCATACATAATAGTTTCCAGGTACTTCTCTGATGGCCCAAGCAGGGAGGACATGAACTTTACTGCGATTCATGTCATATGCAAGCAGTGATTTATCCTCCCCAACAAGGAAAATCAAATTCCATTCTGTATGAACTGCAATCACTCTGTAGACCGCATCACAAACCTCGGTACCAATTTCAATATTCTTCTTTCCAAATAGCTCCAACGTGGTCACCTTATGCTTCAATGTCCATTTATTAGTACCATAGTCTTTAAGAAAGCTCATACCTATTCAAAGTATCAGCAATACATGAACACAACTGACCGAGCTTCATGGATGGAGATTGCATCACCAGTTGGCCTATGAATTTTCCTCCATGTGTTTCCCTCTATATCAACAGCAACTATCTGGGTGAACTTCAGCATGTGCATAAAACCATGAACAAACACACATTTCTCATATGTGGATATTACAATATCCTCGCCCCATTCAAATTCTTTAAAGATCCATGCTCCAGTTTTAGATGAGTAGATGTTGACACCTAAGGAGTCATCATCGTTGTTCCCATATTCAAATACATGGAAGTGCGAGGAGAATATCAGATCAAACCCCAAGCGAGCTGAACCACAAGAATGGTTGCTACCCGGCAGTAGCAACCATTTCTTAGTCACCAAATTACAGACAACATAGCGAAACCCAGAGTACCAGAAGAGGATGAGGCCTCGGGAGCAATCTGAGATCATGACATCCTGAATGGGGAAGGGCAAGAAGGACAAGGAGGGGTATTCACCATTGACACTAGTGAAGTTGCGTTTGCATTTTCAGCTGTAGTAGAAGAATCCGGTGATAATCTGGGACAGCTCCTTACGGTACTCGGATCCCGAGATGAGGCTATTCTAGGAGCGACAGAAACACTTGCAGCTGCACAAAGAGCGGGCGATGAGGCGACTGAGGATGAGGACCAAGACATCTTCTGTGAGGATGGCCACTTCGTTCCTCTTGTTGAGGGCCTCGTCC